AATTTGTCTTTAAAATTGATAAAACGACCATAATGCTTTTACTGGCGATAAAGTGGTTCCAGTTTACATTTATTGTCACTACACCAATCAAAGTTTTATTGTCACTACACCAATCAAAATTTTATTGTCTCTACACCAATCAAAATTTTATTGTCACTACACCAATCAAAATTTTATTGTCACTACACCAATCAAAATTTATTGTCACTACACCAATCAAAATTTTCATAGTTTAAATGGCAATGGATGAAATAAAAATAAAACCGTGTAAAAATTTGTTTTCTTAAAGTATTTCTTATCTTATACATTACTCCTATACTTTTAGTAAATTTGTTATACATTTTTAGCAAAGGTTTTATCAACATATCGGGATGACACGGAAAAATCCGGTCAACTTCAAGTTGAGATTTCTCCAAAACCACAAATGCTTTTTATTTAATTTTTTTTTAATTTAACCTTACTTCCTTATCTTAAATGGTGTAGATAAGTTTTTGTTTACAAATTAATGATTTACAAAATGTTTTGGAAACAAATTGAGGTGCGTAAAAAAGTTGTGAATTTTTTTGCAAAAATCCATCGACTTCCTATCGCTTGATTGCTAAACGCACAAATGTCCCAAAATCTACAGTCAAAGACATTATAAACAAGATCAAGACTACTCAAAGCTTCGAAGCAAAACTTGAAAGTGGAAGAAAAAAAACTTTCCATAAATCCAAAAAGGTAAAGTCGATTTTACGTTCAATAGCAAGAAATCCAAACCAGTCACAGCAATATCTAGCAAGAAAATTCAAGACTTCTCGTTCTTATATTTAAAAAGTACTTAAAAATGCTGGAATTAAAGCATTTCATAAAAAAATATACACCAAAGAGAAGCTTAAATTGTGAAAATAAAGGAATCCGACGCGCAAAGAAGTTGGTTAAAATAATGGCGGATAAAAATATGTGCATAATAGACATTTCTCTTATTCGATTGCGCAACTAATTTCTCTGCTTGAAAAAGAGGCCATTAAAGACAAAAATGTAAACGGTTGAGTGTTTCCATACCGCAAAGTCAGGTGGTGTCTTAGAGTCCGCAAAACTCGTAAATCTATTTCGCATAATTATTTTTTACATGAATAATATTTTTTTGTTGGTATAATTAACTTTATTAATGATTTTGGCCTGTCACGGAGAAAACAGTCCGCCGGAGTAAACTGTCCGGCCGGACTGTTTACTCCGGAGTAGAATGTCCTACATTGGAGTAAATTGTCCTACTTAGCAAATAATTCACCGTTCCTAGCTCGACGTCACGAAATAATTAAGATTCAAATCTGCTATTATGGAGGACAACTAAGTTAGCGGAACTAATATATTAATTATAATATTCATAGTTTTTTCAAAAAATATAATATTTTATAAAATTTAATGTATAACCAGAATAAGAAAATATAAATCCTAATCTTATTTATTAAGTTATTATCATTTTTTTATTTTAAATTAAAGTTTAATATATAAATATGCAAATATAGTAATAATAAAATTATAATATGGTCAACTTTTGTGCTGTATTTGGATGTTCAAATCGTGAAAAGGGAAAATCTTTTTTTCGTTTACCAAAAGTAGTTTGAAATCAAGGCGATGATGGTAAGATTTCATCAAAAGAACGTAGAGAAAAATGAATAAATGCCATAAACAGAGTTGGTAACTATCCTGATGTCTTCCACACTCGAATTTGCAGTGATCATTTTATTACAGGTAGAATAAGCCTTTTTACCTTTGAAATATTTTTATTACTTTGAAAGTTTAATATCATTAACTGTTTAACATTTTTATTTTTTTATTAAGGAAAACCTGCTTCTCTTTTCTCACAGAATGACCCTGATTGGGTTCCTTCTTTAAATATGGGGCACAAAAAGTTTGAGGTTGAGAAACCTAAAGAAAGATACTTACGACACAAAAATCGTTCATTGTTAACAAGTCGAAATGATTCTATGTCTTGTAGAAACAGCATCATTAATTTAAACCCTTCTGAAGATTCAATTATAGATTTTCAAATGGAGAATTTTAAAAATAGTGAATCAATTGTCTCAGAAAGTGTTACAATAGATTGTGAAAACTTAGTAGATGCAAGTGTTCAAACTGATATGACTGTCAAAAATATCAATCAAATAGAAACTGAGTATAAAAACAAACTTAATTATGATTTGCGTGCAAATTTAGTCAAACTCCATGTGGGAACTATTGAATGATTTGATACCGATTCAAAATTAACATTTTACACTGGATTGCCAAATTTGAAAATTTTATGTTGTTTATTTAACTTTTTAAAGCCTTTTATAACTGAAAATGAGAATTCAGTTTTATCGTACTTTGAAGAATTTTCTTTGACGCTTATGAGATTGCGTTTAAATCGATCTATTAGAGACCTTGCTTATAGATTTGAAACTTCAAAATCGACCTCATCAAAAGTATTTTTAAGATGGATTGACATTATGTACTTCAGAATGAAACATTTAATTAAATGGCCTGCTCGCAATGAGCTTATAGAAACTATGCCTTTATGCTTCAGAAAATATTTTGAAACAAAAGTGGCTGTAATAATTGATTGCTTTGAAATATTCATAAATAAACCATCTAATCTATGCGCAAGAGCAGCAACTTGGTCACAGTACAAACATCACAATACTGTTAAATTCTTAATAGGTGTAAGCCCACAAGGTGTGATAACATTTGTTTCTAAAGCTTGGGGAGGATGTGTTAGCAATAAATACCTAACAGAGCATTGTTCAATTTTAAAAAACATTGTTCCTGGAGATGTTATTTTAGCTGATAGAGGTTTTAACATTGCTGAGAGTGTTGGTTTTTATTGTGGGGAGCTAAAGATTCCAGGATTTACAAAAGGAAAGTTACAATTGACTTGTTCAGATGAAGAAACAACCCGGAAATTTGCCTCTGTTCGAGTACACGTTGAGAGAGTTATTGGATTGTGACGTAACAAATATAAAGTTCTGCAAAGTATTATGCCATTAGATTACTTATATACTAAAGATTCTGGATTATGCACAATAGGCAAAATTGTTATTTTTTGTTCTTCTTTGATAAATATATGGGATTCAATTATTCCTTTGGAATAATTTTTAAAAATTTAACAGGATTGAATAATTAATTGAAACTAGATCTTATAAACAAAAATAAATATTATCAAATTAAGTATAAAATATTTTTATTAAAAGTATACATTTTTATTTCAATTTTATACAATAATCGTGATCATTAAAAACTTTGTTTTCTTTTTTAAAGTAGCTGTGTTCTATTAGTATAAATTTATTTTTATCTGATATCTCTTTCATTAATTGATTTTTTTTGGCTGTAAAATTTGTTAATTAGTTCAGGTAAAATACATTCTTCAAAAAATTGTTTAGATTTTATTATATTCCTGTCCATAAATTCCAAATCCGGCAATATTCTTTCGCAATACGAATCTTTTGATGTCCAAATAAAAAAATCACAGTAGTTACTTGATGAAGCATATAACTGACACTGAACTTGATAGTAATATTTATGTGATTTTTTTAAAGATATATAACCAGCTTTATTTTCCAGACAACAATTTTTAAAATCTAATAATTCGCTAATGTATTTATATCTCATACTATATGGACATTTTATCTCCAGACAACCATTTCCACAACAATCACAATTAATAATTGCATCTGGTGATGCACCAAGGAAGGGTTGTTGAACTGAAATAAAAAAACCCACAATTTTTTATTGAAAGTTTAGAGTGTTTCTTTTCCATGGTTGTGGAATACAAAGTCAATGCTTTTTTTTCATGGTCATTTTCCCATTTTGTTGCTGCTGTGCAAAAACGTGCTTGAATGGGGTAACATATTTGCATAATCAAACTGATTGGTGGTCGGGTGATGTTTGCGCAGCATACACTCCCGAATTTTGAAGCAGTTATACGACCTGCCCTTAAGTAAAACCAGTTTTTACTTTTTGCTTGAAGTCGCGTTGTACTCTCAACATTTTTACTTTGCTAAATCGTTATTGTAATTTTTTTTTTTTTACAAGCAGCTAGGAGTTGTTCAAAGTTTAAAAATATATTTTTCTGATAAAGATCTGGCAATGATTCAGGATATTTTTCTGTTATTATTGATGGTTTATAAGGTTTGGTAAACCCAGGAATAATTGAAAGAATAGCTGGTTTTGTTCCACATTGACTAAGGTCTAAAAAAAATTTATCGGTTTCATCTTTTGTTGGAATAGAAACACTTTTTCTATGTACTATTTTTTTGTCATAGATTATGCCTTGAACTTTATTATTTAAATTGCATTGCAAAGATTTGGTGATGTAAAGTCAATATCTGAAACAGGCTTGAATTCTATCTTTTTAGAGCTTGGTAGTAACCAATAAGCTTTTTCATCAGTGCATGTTTTTGAACTTCTAATTTTGAACAAATTCGTCAACCTTAGAGTCTATGTAACATTATCGTTATACACTCTTAAACAAAATCAGGAATCCGCAACTGAAATTCAGGGAAAACTCACTGAATTAATCATTGCGTTTAGGCACAATTGATTTTCAGGCGTAATCGCCTGAATTTCAGCCAATTCTTTTTCTCTGGAAATCAGGGAAACCAAGCCTTCTGAAAATCAGGGATTTTGATGCACTGAAATTTAGGAATTCTATTACTGTATATTCAGGGAAAAACTTTCGTCAACTCGGGTTTTTTATACCGACATAATATATATTATATTGTCGGCATTTTAGTTGTGGATAAAATAGATTATGAAACAATCTCGTCCTAATCTTGTTAAGTAAAGTTTTTGGGCACGCCTATTTTAACATGGTTATGCTGTTGCGCGTCAAAATCTATATTATACTATATTATTCAGGACATTTCACATTCATAACTGTATTTGATTACAGTTACTTAAATTTATGCTGATAGAATTCATTTTGATTTCATTAATCATGTTATTTAGCTATAATTTGCCGGTAGAGATGATTACAATAATTAAGTTAAAAAAAGTTATTATCATAATTACAAACATTACAGTTTTTAGTATATACTGCAAATAAAATAAAAAAGATTTTGTTGATGCGTGCATTTGAATAACAATTAATAAATTTTCTATATCACAATGTGTGCAGATTTTGCTTATTTAAAAGAGTGTCAAACATATTTAACGTGCTTTTAAAAAAGTAACAAGATCTCGTACACATTCTGAGATAGGAACATTATCTAAGATCCCATAAAAATGCACTTGCAAAAACTGCCAAACATGGCTAACACTTTGGTCGTACTCAATTTGACCGATGTAGTGTAGCTTGAAACACTTATCAACAGCAGATACCATACAACGCGATTCAATAACTTCGTTTTCTACAACAATAAAGGATTGGCTAATGTTGCCAGTTACACCCAATGCAATAATTATTGGTTGTTTAATACTGTCACTTTTGATTTTAGAAAGAATTTCGTCCATTGAAGTTCCATACTAATAAAAGGTAATATAAATATAGTTTACGAATTTTAAACAAATTAAACATAAAATTAAGACCTCCGCTAAAAAATTGTACACAATATAATAAACGCAGCCATTGCTTACAGGATGAAGCTGGATAAATCGCTTGCAAACTTCAGCAACCGAGGCACGTTGCCGATTTCGCATAGGAACCGTTAACATAAGTGGAAGTAGTAATAGAGCGTATTCTTCTTTGGTATCTATAAAAATATTGCTAAATACATATATTACCATTAGATACACATATAAAAAGTTATTAAAACAATATAATTTTTAAAAACTTAATTAATAAGTTAATTCTAACTCATTTGGTGATAAGAAACTATTTTTATTTAAACATGAATAAATTAAACAAACCTTCAAGTAGGTTGTTGTTAGCTGCTATTTCGTCAAGTAATATTGTAAGATCGGTTGACAACCCTTTGGGTTTTCCTTTGGCATACAAAAGGATCCGTGAAAAACCTCTCCCAAAAAAAGTCTCCCAGCCCATCCACTAACCGTTTGCTGTTGGGTGCACTTCTGCAGAATTCCTCTTCAAACTAAATGCCATAGTAATTGTTAATTCAATAAAATAAAGTATATTGTTATTAAATAATTTAATTAGTTTATAAGTTTACCACTAATATCAACAGTGACAACTCATAATATCATCAACTAACTACACAATGATTACTGAAAGCAAACTAAAAGCTTACCGCAGATGAGTAAATATTTCTTAATGGGGGAAATGGGGGAAATGATGAAAAAAATGTTTTTATTGGAGGTCTTCCTTCCCTCACCCAGAGACTGCGACTTTCATAAGTTGATGTCATAATAATTTTTATGCGATTCTCGTTAGGTGTCTCGTTTAAAAGTTCATGGGTGAGCACCCTTTCATCTTCTGTAAAATACTCTAATGAGAAACAATAATGAAAATAATAATAAAATAATAATACAGCATTTAAAGAAACTATCATCTTTACTATATTTTTAAACAGCATATTTGAATACAGCACTTAAATACGCCATTAAATATAAATAGAATAAAACTGTTAATATATCAGAATGAAAATTAAAAAATATATTTTAAAATATCTAAAACATATAATTAAATTATTACACTCTACCATTATTAATAACAAACTTTTGCAACAATAGTGTTATTTGTATAAATATATATTTTAAATATATACTTAATGCAAATATTCATTCTACAAACATACAGTTAAAGCAAAAACCTGTTATGGGTCCATTGACTAGATTAACTGCATCTGTTCTTAGGCGCTTCTGATGCGGCTTGTGTGGCTTGTCAATAATTGGCAGTTGTTTTCTCAGCGTTTTCAAACGCTCTTCAATATAGCCTGATGGGGAATATTTTTTAACTTTTCCGTTTCGTAATACTTCAACATACTGTCTGAAGTAAGCATCCTTAAGTAAATAAGTAAGTAAAAATATAAAGATTAGTAAAACTAAACTAAAAAAATTTCAACTATTATCCCATTTCCCAAAATATGCAAATAAAAGTTTCAATTAGACTTATAACAATACTTACATAACCATCACCATTACCACTTCTTAAGGTTGGAAAGCGGTTTATCACTTCTAGTGCTAAAGCCTTTTTTTTCTCTGTATTGGGATAGCTGCAACAACAAAAACAAAAAAAATTATGCTGTGTTTAATAACTTATTTACTTCCCCATTTAATTTTTGCAGTAAATCATTTATTTATAAATTTTAATTTAAATTTAAAATAAAATTAATTATATTTAGTTTTATTAACAGATTTTACATACTAATACCAAAAAATGCAAGTTTCAAAATTAAAATATTAAAGGTTTCCTAACCAGTTACTATCTTTTACAAGATTTCCAACAATAATACGCACAAAAAGATCTTTCATCAAGACTAACTGCCCGGTTCGTTCATATTCGGATAAGATTGATGCACCGTTAGGGTGATCTTTCAACATAGAGTCAATGTCCTTTACAAAAATTAAAATTCACTTCTACAATATTACAAATAATAAAATATACGTAATTTTATAAATAATTTCGAAAAGTTTTTAAAAGTTTCTAACAAAATTATAAATAAAATGCATTTATGATTAAATTGAACAACTAACATAACTCAAAATAGCAATTTTAAAAAAATTATAGAAAAAAAAAATCTTTATTAGCAAATGCAAGCTAATAAAGATAACTATTTACTATGCTTATTAATAAATATAACAATTTTATTAAAAAAGCCTAAAGTTTTCATTTAATATTATTTATTAAATAAATTTCACTCACAAACTTATATTGACATTGATGTGAACTAGAAGAACTGCTGACAACATTAAAACTTGTTTGATCTGTTGTGATTGTTGTTGTTGGTTCAATAGACTGTCTTACATCAGTATATGTAGATGCAGAGCTTTCTAAAGGTATATATGCTTCATTGGTATTGATAAGACAAGGAGGCTGTACATTCTGTAATTAAACAAATATGCTAAGAATAATGTAAGTTAACACCTTTGTCTTCATCCAAATATTGAGATAATAGAGAGCGATTTACATACTGATACATATTTCAATACCAATAGTTAATAAAAAAGTTATACATAATTGTTGATATATTAGAGACAAGTATCAATAAAAATCTCAAAGTTACATATACAGTGCTTGAAGTGGGGCATGATGTCATCGCCTTTTTTTAAAGTATAAACCATTTGGCCACCTTTTTTAAAATCTCTGTATATAACAATGATTAGGATGGTGAGGTGGGATGATATTTTTAATTTACTGAATACTATTCTGTTACTTTTTTTCTCCACTTTGAGCACTGTATATATATATATATATATATATATATATATATATATATATATATATATATATATATATATATATATATATATATATATATATATGCATTAAGTATGATACACAGTTTCGTCAAATATTGTTGATGTTGACAACTTGTTTGTTGTTTCCAAAATATGTGACTTGATAACTAATTTTTCTTGCTTTTTCTTGCCTGTTTAATAATTGATCTTCGAGATAAACTTCGAGAAATATATTCCCTGCTTAAGTTACTTCAACATAGTCTCTGGAAAAATCAAATGAAAAAGAAGAAAAAAACAAAAACATAGTTTATCAAATAACAAGTATGTTTTAAACACTCCTTTTCTAAGCTAAATGACAAATTAATAATTTTCCATCTCCAGTATATGCTTTATGAAACTATAAAAATGCATTAACATTTGTAGAATGGTTATCGTTAACAACAGATCTTGATTTAAATTCAGATTTGTGCATTGTGGTAATACACTCATCAATTTCTTTTTTCAAACATAAACCTGTTATGTAAACTTTAGGTGAGGATTTCAAAACATAAGAATAAATTACAATCATTTAAACAAAATCATACAAACAATCATAAAAACAAAAACAAAGTCTTTATAAAAATTATTTTCTCAATCTTCATCAAATTGTTAAGCACTTTAGGCTGCTCTTTGGAAGTATATCTTACCCACAAGAAGCAAATAATCACTTAATACCAAATTTTTGTCAATAGTTTTTTTAATATATTATAGTTTTTCAATTTGTAATTTTCACCACTGCAAAACCATTTAAATAAGTTTAAATAAGCATTTATTAGGCAATGAGAAAAAAAAAAGAATTTTATTAACAGCTATTGACTTCAAAACAGTTGGTATGCCTGATATTTCTTGCCTACTGTAAATAAATGACCTAATTTGTTGCATTTTAATTGCTGTATGTTTGAGACATGATGCATAATAGAGTATTTACATAATAGAGTAAATATTTTGAAGAAAAATTTATGTTTTCTACTTAATAATTGCAATTATAATAAATAAAAAAACTACAAACCTTTAAAATTATTTCCAATGGAGAGTTTTAGGTAGTTTTAGCAATATTTAAGATTATTTTTAGTAGCATGTTGTAATTTTGATATAGCTATCTGAAAGCCTATTTCAGTATTCTTTGTTATTGGAATAAACTGAAGCAGGCAATCAGTTAACAAAAATTCTAGCAGAAAATAATGTAAGTACTCAAAGAAAATCTAACTATTATTAAACCATTTTAATAAAATATAAATAAAACAATTATAGTACAAACAAGACTCTTAACCATAACAAAAATGAAGTTTTTTATACTTGTTTTTATTATGTAATAAGTATAACATTTTAAAAGCTTTTATTTTGCAACTCTTACAACAAAGCACTCAATTTTTATAGAAATTTCCACACTGTACATTTACTTACCACGCTAGAAATTTCCCTTTTAAATATTTCGATATGGACTTAACACGTTTTTCTAGATTTGAGGGCCTGAATAAATCAGAGAACGAAATCGCCTGAATTAATTAACTGAAAATCAGGAAATTGGCCTGATTTTAAGGGCGAAAAAATTACATGAATAATTCATGTAATAATTTCCCTGAATTCATCTTAGAGTGTAAATGCGACAGTCAAATGTCTGACCTTACTGCGACGTCAGTATCTGACCTTAGAAAGACGTACTATTGACGTCCGATGCTGACTATGCGGAGTTTTTTTCTAACGAAATTTCCCATGCGGCTTAATGTTCAAGCTTAAGCCGCATGGGAAATTTTGTTAGGTAATATATAGCAAATATTTATAGAGGCATACAGATCAATCTATCTTAGGATTATAAGGTTAGTTTCTGTGTTTGTGATTTTTTTTGGATTCCATTATTCCGATTTATAGTAAATGTTGAGTTCCTTACTTGTGCAAGGAAGCAACCTCCCTTGATTTTTTAAAAAATCGATTTAATTATAATGATTTTTAAAAAATCAAGTGGTTCTTTTTTGGCAAAAAGAATTTTAAAAGTTTAGAATTATTAATATTTAGTTTAATTTAGTTGTTTAGTTCCAATTAATGTTTAGTTCCTTACTTGGGAATGTTAAGGCCTTTCTTAAGGAAGTAAACATTAATTAAACTAAACTAAACATTTATAATAAGGAAATAACTTCTTGAATAATTTAATTTCATTGCATTTTGATTTTTAGTTTTAAAGAATGGCAAAATACATGAAGCAGTATAGAAAAAGGAAAAAAGAGTTACAAGAAATGTTAATTTTTAGTAGTAATGATGATGAAAGTGTGTTTAATGAAAAATTATTTACTTTAAATCCGATACTGTGCTCCTCAAATATCAAACTTAGTTTAAATGAAACTAATAGCATCAATAATAAAGACAATGACCTAGTTAGATCTTCTGATGAGAGTTCTTTATTAAATTCTGATATAGTTGAAAGTAAATCATCATCGTTAAACTTTAACTTAAAGGAGAAACTTGCTATATGTGCAATTAAACATCGATGGTCCTCTGCATCAATAAATGAAATTTTGGAGATTTTACAAGGTGAAGGCTTGCAGGTTCCCAAAGATTACCGGACATTGCTGCATACACCTCGTCGAACATCTGTTGTTTCAAAATGCGGAGGAGAATATGTCCATTTCGGTTTGAGAAATGGGATTTTAAAAGTTCTTTCTCAAATTCCAGAGTGCACTGAAATTAAATTAAACGTTAATGTTGATGGACTTCCATTGTTTAAATCTTCAAGTTGCCATTTATGGCCAATATTATGCAAGTTTTCTACTGGTGATATATTCATTTGTTCATTGTTTTGTGGTGTCAGTAAACCCAATTCTTTAAATGATTTCTTAAATGATTTTTTGAATGACTATTAAGACTTGCATACCAATGGTTTAATCTTCAATAAAAAAAAATTATCTGTTTCCATTAGTTCTTTTCTCTGTGATGCTCCAGCCAGAGCTTTTATGAAGTCAATTGTGCTTCACGTGGGATACAACTCATGTGAGCGATGTGAAATTGTTGGTACATATGTTGATGACCGTGTAGTATTTCTTCCAGAAGAAAATATGGTTAAAAGAGATGAATTGGTTTTTAATAACTTCGGCTATCCCAATCATCAAAAAGATCAAACACCTTTAGTAGAGGCTGGGATTTCATGTATCAAAGCATTTGTTTTAGACTATATGCACTTAGTTTGTCTAGGTGTTGTGAGAAGATTAATTAGATTTTTGAAAAGTGGAAAAAAAGGACGTATTTCCATGCAGCAAAGAACTCGCTTATCGAACCTGCATGGTGCTTTAAACGGGTGTTTGCCAACTGAATTTGCAAGGTAACCAAGGCAAGTAAATGATGTTGACAGATGGAAAGCTACAGAGTTTCGCTTTTTTTTGTTGTACACGGGACCTGTAGTTTTAAAAAGAGTTTTGTCAAATGAGCAGTATAAACATTTTCTCTCATTAAGCATTGCCGTTTCTATATTACTTACAGATAATATTGATATTCGCTCTCAGTATATCAACTATGCTAGAGAGCTAATAAATTATTTTGTTAGAAAATCACCAAGTTTGTATGGTGAATGTTTTGTTGTGTATAACGTACATAATTTATTACATTTAGTGGATGATGTTGAACATCACAATTGCTCTTTAAATGATATTTCTTGCTTCCCATATGAGAATTACATGCAACGACTTAAAAAAGTAGTACGCAATGCAAACAACCATATTATACAAGTATGTAAACGGGAACACGAGTATGAAAATGCGTTCATGTCTTTACCAAAAAAAAAAAAAGTAAATAAGATTTTCCCTAACTTAAGAGATGGATGTTTTATGTTGCAAAATGGAGATGTGGCATTTGTTGACAGAATTGTACAAGATAAAATGCAGTGTAAAGTGTTCAGACCCTGTAACATGCAAAATGTTTATGTGGAACCTGCAGAGTCCAAGTTATTCAACATATACTTAATAAATGACCTAAACAAGAACTATAGATCTAAAGTTTTAGAAAGAAAGAATTTGATAAATAAATGTGTTTGTATTCCTGAACAGCGTGGGCATGCTATTTTTCCACTTTTGCATCGATTCTAGATTATGCACATTTATTTTATTTGTGTATCTATTTGCCTTTATTATTAATTTTTTTTTTTTTTTTAATTTTGGATTTTAAAAATATTAATTTTTTTTTTTTAATAGTTATTTTTTCTGGTTTTAATTCGTCTTTGATTTTATTTTAGACATGTATTGATAGAATAATCTGATAATCTTTTAAATTGATACGTTGCTATTTTAAAATGCATCTGTGTTATTATGCATGATTTTTTGTATGTAAAAGTTTTGCAAGGAATTTAAGTCTAAGTTTAAATTTTGATTATGAATGGTATTCAATATTTTTTAAATCTATATAGAGAGAACATAAGAATCAAACAGTTAGTTTAAAGTCACACTGATAACTTGTTTCAGTAAATTAATTTGTTTTAATGTTGCTGAATATTGTGGCTAGATATTTGATAGTTATATAAATAACTATAACACAATATCTGGCCCTACATTGTATTTCCTTTACCTTTTTTAGTGGTGTACACTCGATTTTTAGATGTTTGAGTTTTGACACTTACAGGCATTGTGCAAACTCCAAACTTTTGTATGTTCATGCTTATGTCAAATGAGGATGTTTTGCAAAGAATTGCAGTGATTGGAGGTTGGGAACAAAAAAACCCTAATTTTTGAGCCCACCCGACCCTTTATATGGGAGCAACAAGTTTATAAAAAATTTTTTCTTTTTTTTTTATCTAAGTTTATATTTATCAACAAATTTTAAATTTCATGCAATATTTTTTTAGTGTTCAGTTTTTATGACCATATAAAGTTTTAACCCCCCTCAATTTGAGGGGGCTCTAAACTTTGCAGGGTCATAAAAACTGAACACTAAAAGATTATTGCATGAAATTTGAAATTTGTTGATGAATATTGATTTAAACAAAAATAGTATAAAAAATAATTTATAAACTTGTTGCTCCCACATTAAGGGCTGGGTGGGCCCAAAAATTAGGGTTTTTTTGTTCCCAACCTCCAATCACCACAATTCTTTGCAAAACATCCTCATTTGACATAAGCATGAACATACAAAAGTTTGGAGTTTGCACAATGCCTGTAAGTGTCAAAACTCAAACATCTAAAAATCGAGTGTACACCCCTGCTTTTTTATTATTGTGACATAATGTAGGTAGTTTTTCTTCTCAGTCTTTTTCTTTTCAGTCCTAAAGGCATTTTAGCCTTTGTCATGGCTAAGGAGCTTTACTTGGACCCAACCAACCCCTGCAGTTAAGGAATTACATATTTAGTTTTGATTTAACTAGTATGAGCCAAGCTGAAGAGTTTAAATGGACAAGAGCAGTTTGGATGGAAGGAGATGATGAGGAAGAAGGCACTATCCTTAATAAATGGGTTCAGGGTGAAAATGTTAGATGGCCTGTTAAAATTAATGCATTAAGAGCTTTATCAGAAGGTAGATCCCCTAACAAAAATTGGTTGAAATTTGATCTGGTTAAACTAAAATGTTGTTCAAGTAAGACTCGATCTATGTGTTCATTGTAATTGATAAGATTTATATTCTACTTATTTTTTTTAGAAGACATTTAACTTAACAGTATTTAATTTAATTTTTTCTGTTAACTAAGCTTAGCAAATGAAATGCCTAAAATGATTTATTACTTTTTTTATATTATTTAATTTTTTCTTTTAAGATGATCATCATACTTGTGAAGATTTCAACTTTACCACAGATGCAGATGATTGTAACTCACCTCCAAAATATAAACATGGTAGATTTGTATTTTTGTGACTTATGAAACAATGAGGCATTCTAAAAGAGCCTTATTAAATTACGTTTTGAATAATTAAATTATCAAAAGATTTCTAGTTCAAGTGTTTACACTTAAGTGCTTTTAGTTCCCAGAATGTTTAAGAGAAAACGTAGGTAGCAATTTTGAGAAAAAATTTGTCTTGTCCAAAAAAATTAAGTTATGCTGTTTATGGTATTTTTTTTAGAAGTTAAACTGTTATGTTGATGTGTTTTTGCGTATTCATCTTAACAGTTAATTTTTTATTTTATTATTCATTTTTATTTTTTGTTTTTTAAGTATAAAAATTGAATTTTTAAGATCTCTAATTTTAGAGCCTAATAAAGTTACTGGTTATGAAAACAAAATAAAAACACTATCTCAATCACATTCATCAGTTAGAAGAAGGAACAGCGATAAAGGTAAAAAAAAAACATTTTATTTCAACTTATTTCATTTTAGCTGCATTTTAGTTCTGCATACAAATTCTTATCAAAAAATGCATCTATATGCATTTTTTGAGAAAAATTTTTCTGAAATGTATATACATTATTCATATTTTTTTAATGTATTTATGACATTTAAAAAAAATGTTGATAACCTAATGCAAGGATGTAATGTGTATTACTTTGTTGATGCTATGTTTACTTTATATGTTTACTTTTTTTATATATCAGATGATCTCCATACTTGTGAGAATTTTAACTTTACTTTCACAGATAATTGTACCTCTCCTCCAAAAAATAATGGTAAATGTTTTGTTTTTTTACTTTTAAAATGTAGTACAGGATGACTGATACAAGTTACTATTTTAATAAGCAATACTATTTTAAAATCATTATAATAATTATCTGTTCCAAAAAAGCTTTTATAAATTAAGTTTTGCGCAGAGTTTTAATCGAGGAAGTATCAAACAAAAAACAACAAATGTTTACGCTTTTAACATTTAGTTACCAGATTGTTTATAAGAGAATATTTCTGTAGAAAAAGTTGAATTATCAGAAAATTTTAAATTATGCTAAGTTATGTGTTTGGTGCATTTTCATGTAGTTTTAAATCATGCTAAGTTATGTGTTTGGTGCATTTTCGTGTAATTGGCCTGGTTTATTACTTTCTTTAGTTTTAGAACCTAAAGTGTCTGGCCGTAAAAGTTATGTTACAACACCACCTCCACCACATTTATCAGATAAAAGAAAAAGTAGTAGAAAAGGTAAAGAAACAAAACTTTTTTATTTTAACTTACTTATTTTCTGCTGTAATCTACAGGATTCATTTTTTAAAGGAGAATTTTTCTTAAATATTTATCCTGTTTTTAATATTTAATATTTGTTTTTAATATTTAAAATTATATTAATATTTATATTAATATAATTTTAATATTTAAACATTTATCCTGTTTTTAATATTTATATCATTTCATTGATATATTGAATTAATGATAAGTAATATGTAAATACTAATAATTTTTTATGTTTTTATTTCCAAATATCGCTTATTTTTTATAATTGCATTTAATGATTATTGACAGTTTATGGTAATAAATTCCTATAATATAAAACAAAAGTCATTAATGATATATTTACTGATAGAGTTCAACTCTCCTAAATCCAGTTCCCCAGATATAAGCAAAAGGAAGTTGGTAGTGGAGGATCCTAAATACAGTTCCCCGGATAAAAAGAAAAGGAAGTTGGTATTAGAGGATGCTTCAATTCTTAGATCACATCAATTATGTATGTTATGCGTAGAGCACATTTTATTAGTATACTTTCCATTTTTGATTATTTCTAAGTATGTTGTTTAAACTTATTTTATGCTATTTTTTGTGCTAAATTTTTGCATATGGTGATTTTGATAACACTTTAGACATATTGTACATGTTTGTATCATGTTTAATCTTTGTTAAATTTAATAATTCATATCATCGAATATTTTTAGCAGCATCAGTGGATTTAAGTAGTAGCAGTAGCTCTGAACCGTTGTCTCCTGTAAAGAATCAGGTGTTTTCGAATAATAGTACAGATACAATGAGTATATCTGTTGCATCATTTCAAAGTAAGTATATTTTTTGTTTAGATTTTTTTAAATTTAGTTTCTCTAAATAATTATGTGAAATGGTTGACATAAATCAACATGGATATTATTCAACAATAATAATTTGAATCTCAAAGTAGACTAAACAAGTTCTTATATTTTAGGATTCCAATCAAAAGTTTTTGAGAACTTTATCGTTTTAAAAGAAATGATTAAGTCACTTGGTCAGCGATATGAAAAGGATGATTCACCTTTCTTTATTGAACAATTAACTGAAATTGAAAAATTTAAAGAGTTTGATGATACTCTCAGTGAAAATGATAAAAAGATGTGTGAGTTTTGTTTCAGATATTTATAATTATTTTTATTTAAATACTACACGTTTAAGGTGGCAATTTGAAAAATGTCTTTTTTTAAAAATCTTCCTAGAGCAACTAAATAATTAGAACTGTTTGTGACCTGAGTACTTATTTATTCTAAATCCATTTTAAAATATTAAATGAACGTTTCAAAGTTAATATCTGAAAGAAATAATTTAAATAAAATAAAAATAAAATAATTTTTCATTTTAATTTTTTTGCTTATAAATAATTGATAAATTTGATAGCAAATAATATTTTACCTTTTAAAGGTCACTTATTAATATCTCCCAACATTTAAAAATGGAGTTAGAATAGATGGGCACTTGAGTTGCGTGTTATTTGCAGAGAACTTTATAAACACTTAGAAACTTCTACATTGTTTTTGTTTAGCTTAGTCGCTTTGAAAACTGTGGAGGAGCAACATGCCATGAATATGTTAGGAATATTATGAACAAGTACGTTGGTTATGGATCTTATTTTTGATTTTTTTTATATATTTAAAAAATATGGTTTTGCCATATAGAAATGGTTGATAATTATTATTGTATTACCATGGCCCCCACAAGAATCATGAATTGTACATATGGTCTGGGGAAATTTAGAAAAATATTCAAATATCTTTATTTTGGGCCCCGCTTCCCTGTTTTGATGATTGTTTTTTTAAGTTCATTTGTTTGAGGTGGTAAACCACATGTTTTACTTTTAAGGGTTATGTCAAATGGCGTCATGAGCGAATACAATATGAACGGGAAGTTCAATAAGCTGTCTTTTCGAAAAACAAATACAATGAAGTTAATAGTTGGTAAGTTATTTTTATTTATTACAAAATTAGAACATTTATTAAAAAGTTAAATTATTATTACAAATTAGAGAAAAATTGCACTTTTTTAAAATTTGAGACAGCTGACAGGTAGATAAATAGATAGATATACTTTAAATTAGTCATTTTACAATAAAAAAATTATTCTTTTTAATTTTAGAAAAAATAATATTAGTTACAATTAGAAAAATATACAGGGTGTCTGCTGGAAAAACTAGGGACAAGGCTGTTATTTAAAAATATGCTGTAATTTTTTAAGTTTTTGAGTGGACAACCCTGATTTAAAATTATATATAAAATGTTTGTTGGAGACAATTACTCATATAGCTAATAGCTGCATAATGGCAATTCAGTTTATCAAATTTTGACCCTAAATGGCCAGCTTTGTGGCTAAAGTCTAGACGTATAACAAACTTGGGAAATATTACTTTATGCCAACTAGTTTTACGCCAACTAGATTAATAAAAACAAGTTGGAAAATTAAGATTTAAAAATAAAAAGTTTAAATTGTTTTTGTTATTTTTCTAGCAACTGTTGCGAAGTTGAAGAAATATACTGAAAAAGATGTGGAAAATAGAATTGGTGTTACTTTGAAACACGCTCCTTTGCGAAAAGATGGTGTGAAAAATCTACGAAATGACGACAGTTAATGATCAAGAAATGAAACTTTATGTTATTTTAATATTAAAGATTTTTTTTTAAATAGATTTTTTTGTCTTTACTCTTGTATTTAATTTCGCCGAAATTAAATATTTCTAAGAGAAATATATCACTCCATGCAATGGCTAGTATAAGTTTTTTTTTACAACATATTAGGCCTAAGAAAAATTAGGTTGTTTGCTCTTTTAAAATAAAAACAATATTGTTATTAAAGTTTTTTTTTTTTGAATTTGTTAAAGGGGTTTCCCTCAAGCAAAATACGTGTTTATATGAACATAGAATTTACGTCAAGAAGGCGCTACATCCGGAAGGTCATAGTAACAAACGCAACGTCATTACGACGTCTTTATTTGACGTCAAGCGGGATTACACTTTGCGACTATAAACGGACCGTCAGAGTACGACGTCCTCGCGACGTCCTTCTGACGATCGTGTGTTTGCTGGGATATATACATATATATATATATATATATATATATATATATATATATATATATATATATATATATATATATATATACATATATATATATATATATATATATATATATATATATATATATATATATATATATATATATATATATATATATATATATATATATATATATATACACATCAATCAATCAATCAATATATTTCCACATAACAACTGCATATATATATATATATATATATATATATATATATATATATATATATATATATATGATATATATATATATATATATATATATATATATATATATATGTATATATATATATATATATATATATATATACAATAGTGAGGGACATTTACAAACAGTTAAAAACTGATGATGCGTAAAGACCTTCGATGATATAAAACAATTATTGTAAAATTATAACAATAATGAATATAACTATATTAATACTAATAGTATTGATAATAGATAACATAAAAGGCTAACATAACAAAATAATAAATTAAATATATAATTAGTAGTCAAAAGTAATAATAATAGTGAATTAGAAGCAATAATAATAATATCAAAGTTAGGTATAATAACAAGCAAAACAATAATATTAAAGATAAGATAATAATGCATTATTAGTAAGTGGGAAGACAGGGTTAGTAGAAAGTCGGCTAAATAAAAGATTTTTTTTTTAATTTTAATTTTTATTCTTTATTTGTATAGTTTTGTTTTATATATGCATATCAACTTTAATGTTTAATGCAAAAATAAAATTAAATTTTGGGTATATGTATATATATACACACATATACACACATATATATACATACACACACATAAATATACATACATATATATACACATACGTACATACACACATGTACACATACACACATGCACACAAATATATGTATACATACACACACATACACACACACATGCGTACATACACATGCACACACATGTATACATACACATACAAACATAGACATACATGTATACACACACATATATAGATACATACACTAACACACACACACACACATATATATATATATATGTCTATATATATATATGTCTATATATATATATATATATATATATATATATATATATATATATATATATATATATATATATATATATATATATTATATATATATATATATATATATATATATATATATATATATATATATATATATATATATATATATATATATATATATTCTAAATTTTTAAATTTTAATTTTTCTTCAAATGTATTTTTACTTTATAGATTAAATTTAATATATTATTTAATGTATTTAATATTTTAAATTTTTTAAAAATTTAAGTATTTTTTTTATTTTTTTAACAATTTCTTTTTTAATGATTTTTTTATTAATTTTATTTAAGTATGTATTTTTTTCTTCAGAATCTTTTGTTATTGTTATATAAAACACATGTATACACATACCTACACATATAACCATACACATACATTGCATGTGCATTATACACATGTATATACAAAAACACACATACATACATATGTATACATACACTTAGACAGAAATTCAAACATACATACACACAAATACACTTATATATACACACATACTCATACATACACACACACACACACACACACACAAACACACACACACACACACACACACACACACACACACACACACACACACATATATATATAGAATAAATCTTCTGCGGCTGAAAATTCAGCCGCTCTAAGCAAATAAAAATTGCTTCTGCGGCTGAAAATTAACGCATGCGCTAGTTTAACGTTTAAACACGTTTTTGCGTACATGCTTTATTTTTGAGATTACTCCTGGACATAAAATGAGTAGCCTATCAATTGGAAAATCTTTTGAGAGTTTTGAAGAAGCCGATATCTTTATATCTAATTTTTGTAAAGCTAATTTTCATCCTGTAAGTCAAAGGCACAATGTGACAGTTGCAGCTTACAACAAAAAGGTGAGCTATTATATAAATAGATAAACATGAAAACGAACTTTTATAAACGAATGGACATATCCTGTTCCATAATATAGCCTTTCAAAGGCTATATTAGACTTATGTTAGGCTATATTAAGGCTATATATAAGCTTATAATAAGCTGTAAAGCTAATGTAAATAAACAATAGTCCTTTATTTACATTAGGCTTTATTCAATCAAATTACACTGTAGTTTACAGTGCTTCTGAAAAGTTTTGCAATTTTATTAATAAAAGTGTAAATTATGGTTGATTATATACACACTGAAAATAAAATAAACATTCATAAAGATGACGACTGTAAATGTTCTTATGGGTAGGTTTACAATCTCAATGCCTTGGTGACCCTCCTTGCCATTGAAATCCAGATCTTTGAACACAATACTGGAGCTATCTCTTTCTAGCAGACACACTCAATTGTATCTAAAGATGTAATTGAGTGTTTAAATGTGTTTCACACATACAAAAACAACCACCCACACATGCATACAGACACACACACAATTACATCTTTAAAGTTTTAATTAAGTGTGTTTGCTTGTAAGAGATGTCAGTTTGTAATTGTTGTTTAAGTGTGACTTGCACTCAAAACTTTCTTTGTGGCAATTTTAACTTACATAATATTCAGTGGGGTTTGCATGTCATTTGATACTTATATTTATTTGGTTACTACTATAACTTAACTATTAAATAATTGGCTTAGCATTTACACTTCTGTGCAGTGAAGTCATCAAATTTGAGAAAATATGTCTAGAATAACACTTTTATTATTGATTAGTTATTCTAAAGTTACAAGAATAAGTTATGTGATTAATGCATTTTTTTCTCTAGAGCTTCTGTTTGACAATGCTTCAAATGCATTTTTTTTTGGAAAATATATTCAAGGGTTTTTAAATGTCTTCTGGTACAGAATTTTTTATCATGTTTGAATCAGTTCTACTTGTATTACAAATCAAAGCAATCAAATGGAATAATGATAATTGCAATTTAATTTTTTAATTTATTAGTTAAAATGATTTTTGTACAGCATTCCAATATTGTTAGTCGAATCGATGACACAATGAAGAAGAACTGTATTCAAATCGGAAAACTTTTCTATCATAATTTTATATATATATATATATATATATATATATATATATATATATATATATATATATATATATATATATATATATATATATATATATATATATATATATATATATATATATAAAACTCTGATGGTACAAAATACTTCCAGATAATCCTACAGAAATAAAAAAAAAAAAGGCTGCCAGTAGAAAAAAACAGTAGATAAGTGTTTTTTACTAATTACTGCTCATATGTTTGTGTGTTTATATATATATATATATATATATATATATATATATATATATATATATATATATATATATATATATATATATATATATATATATATATATATATATATATATATATATTATAAGTATATATATATTATATACATTTTTTATATAGTATATTTGCTTATATATATATATATATATATATATATATATATATAACATATATATATATATATATATATATATATATATATATATATATATATATATATATATATATATATATATATATATATATATATATATATATATATATATATTTTTTTTTTTATTCATTTACTCAATAGTATTACTCAACTGTTAAATAACACTGAATGGTAAAATAAAAATAAATACTTTAGACTAGTTTTATGGTATAAATGTTGAATTTGGATTTTTTTTTTCTTGTCATTGGTTGCTGGTGTCAGTGTAAAAAAAAGTTTGTGATTAAAAGGATTAAAGGTCAAGTGATTGTATTAATTTTGGGCAATTAATATAAAAATTATACCTCAAACATTTAAGATAAGAGAAAAAAAGCAAGAAAAAAAAAAGTTTTACATTGCTTTTGATAATGTAAGAAAGTTGTTGGCAAGGTAAAAGTAAAAAGAGAATACTGCAAGTCTGCTAATCCTGGTGTATTAGCTTAGCTTTTGAAGGCTTTAGAGGATGTAGGTCATCAATGCAATTCTATTGTACATGAAGGAAAAATCCAAAATTATTGGAAGAAAACTGGAATGGCAAATGTTTATAAACTCAATTGAAAAAACATTACTAAGGAATAAAACTTTTTAAAAACAAAGATTTTAGAAAAAACAAAATAAGCTATTTATCAATAACAAACAGTTTGGTTAAGATCCAGATAAGGAAATTTTAGATGTAATATTTATTGTAAGTCAAGTAATGATTATTTAAAAAAAAGTATATTTCAGGAATTACTTTAATGGCTTTTTAAATTAATAATTAATAAGATGCAAATAATTAGGGTTCAGCATGAAGTTAGCTTCAGAAGAAAAAGTTTAGGAGAAAAAATTTGGGGAATAAGTAAGAAAAGTCTGACTTTTACCTGTAGAAAAGCTACAGGTAAACAGTAAAGCTTCAGGTAAAGATAGAAGGTGCTTAAGATGGTGTATATTTGAGAAACAACGTAATGAAATACAGCACAGAGAGAAAAACGTCTAATTTTTTGAGGCAAGTTAAAAACTAGATTTTGTTTACTATGAAAAGATAACCGTTTTAATTGGAGCAACAGATTTCTGGTTATTTTTTCTTTATTTATTT